TGTTTGTCATGGTTTGTCTAATGTTTCTACAAGGATCTCTCAGTGTTTGTCATGGTTTGTCTAATGTTTCTACAAGGATCTCTCAGTGTTTGTCAAGGTATGTCTATCGTTTCTACAAGGATCTCTTAGTGTTTGTCAAGGTATGTCTATTGTTTCTGCAAGGATCTCTCAGTTACCTTGCTTGTACAGCTGTTCTTTTTACTGCCGTCAGTCGGTCATCACTTCTAGCTATAAGTAAACCACCACATTTCTTGAAACCTAAAACAGAACAATGAATGATGAACCTCAAAATTTAAATCCCTTTGGTTAATCCCTTCACTAGGGTGAAGGATCCTTCTTAATTCAATGACCCATTGGGTAGCATGCCATTATAGTTCATTGAAGCAATCCCTCAATTTACTGATATTTTCATAAATAAGAGAACTCTGTGTCTGCAAGCCTTACGCTGAAATTTGGTTTTTCGCCTACTGATTAGGTTTGATTGATGGCAAAGAAAATCCTAATTTCAGTGTGCAGCTTGCATACACAGAGTTTGCATGTTTATGAAAATTGCAGTAGCCTTGGACTAAGTTATTTCTGGTTACCTGATTGCAAACCTGTCTCTTCTTCTAGTCTTTTATAAAGAGTTTCAGCATAATCACATATGTAGGTTTCTAGTCTTGTTCCCCTTAGTTTGCCGAGCAATCCTACAGCATGCCATGTTGTACCTCCACTCACACTAGAAATATAAATACAACATGTCATTACTGTAGTAAGCAAGATGATTGAACCTATGAATGGATGTATAAACGGATGGACAGGGAGATGGATGGAAGGATGGATGGAGGGATGGAGGGATGGAGGGATGGATGGATGGAGGGATGGATGGATGGATGGTTGAATTGATGGATGGATTGATGGATATATCCATATATCCTTGAAATAGCACAAAAACTAAATAGCTCTAAGCACATCTATTTCTTTTATTTTCCTTTTTTTTGGGTGCTATTTTGTGACTAATTACAGTAGTTAGTAGTATTTCACAGATGTATGGCTTGTACTCTAATAACCATCAAACAAAGTCATATTTATAATTTTTTGCATCAGGGACTGGTCATAAAGTATTGGGGGGTGGATGGGGGGCAAAATCAGAATAGAATCAGTTTTTTTTTATCTTGGCCCATCATAAAATGATGCTGACAATGGGAGGACCCAACCCCAGTTTAGAAGCAAGATTGCAGATGACCCACCCCTGAAAAAAAATCTAAATCCCAAAAGAATTTTTTTGGTTGCACATGTCTACCACTTATTGTAACATTGACTGCTTCAACTTCTTCTTTAGAACTCTGCCATCGTTTTCCTCACTATCAGTAATTCCTATTTCATGAGTAACAATGTCAGTTTCTTCGTCGCTATCCAAATCTTCAGTATCCTCATAAGTGTCCTCATATGAATTATCATCATCTTCAGTGTCTTCGCGTGAAGCACCATCTTCTTCTAGCTCTTCCTCTGTTGTACTTGTCGTAGCATTTAAAAGCTGTATAGACAGCCAAGCATTTATTACTTGGACTTTCTCACTTTTGTACACTTTTGTACATTTTGAGCTTGAGCAAGTTGTGCTCTAATTTTTAAAGAGGTCCAAGACGACTGCAACCCTCTGCTTCTTAAGCATTCCGCTTTCTTGTATGTCTTTCTAGTCATAGTCTTCGTATGCTTTAAGTTTCTCTGCTTCCTTATTTTTCTCTTTTCATTTGCCCTTTTAATTTTTTTCATTCGGAGGTACTACAGATGTTCTACATACTTCCTATGAGCAGATGCTCTACAACTGCAAATTTCCTTGAGAAATTCTGATGATTACAATTATAATACTACCCTATCTTGTAATGGCCCACCCTTTTTGGTTGTCAAATTTTATCAACAACCCACCCCTTTGAAGGAATTAAAAATTATGTGATCCACCCCCTGATTTTGACCCCCCCTCCCCCCCCTATACTTTATGACCAGTCCGTCATTATAATTTTCCCTGTCCACATACCTTCCTTGTTCCAGAAGTAAAATATCTTTCCATCCAAGCTTTGCAAGATGGTAAGCCACTGAACAGCCTATGACACCTCCACCAGCAATGACAACCTGTGCCTGAGAGGGGGTACCCACATTTGTACTTGCCCCTCGGGAGGAGTGGGCATTGGTCAATGAGGATTTGAATGAGAATGCAGACTGCAGATATGTTGAGATTCTAGGAATACTTTTCCTAAAAAATGAAATAAAGTTCA